AACGCAGAACTGGTCAAGCCTGTCAAGGTCAGTCTGCAACTTCACACAATCATCTGTGGTCCGAACAGGCAAGAAAATTTTTAAATCATCAGCATACATCAAACAGCGCGAATTGGTTATACAAGAGAATATATCGTTAACAGATATTAAAGATAGGCACGCCAGAAGTCGCTATAGATGGATGTGAAGAGTAGCCGCCTATGGGTACTACTTGGGTGCGTTCAGACACGTAGGAACTAAACCAACGCAGGAACATACCCGTCACGCCAAAACATCGCAGCTTATTTAACAGTATAGAATGGTCCACCTTATCAAATGCCTTGCTGAAATTAGTGTACACCACATCCGCCTGTACGTTGTTATCAAGTGCTGAGTACAGAAAATCTGTGTATTCCAAAATTGGTTTAACTGATCGTCCGGAATAAAACCCATATTGACTCTTATGTATATTCTGTTTGATTTGAAAAAATACGCTGATGTACACTAATTTCTCAAAAACTTTGCAAATAATAGGCAATAATGATATTGGCCGGTAGTTAGTAACTAAATTCCTAGCACCATTTTTGAAAATTGGGACTACGTTGGCCTGCTTTCACGCGTCTGGAAAAATCCCCTGTTGCAAAGGTTTATTATAAATTAGGGGTATTGCCATAGCCTCAGAGCAGTTCCTAATCAAAATTAGTGGCAGATTATCTGCTCCTTACCATGTAATGCTTTCTGTACTTCGGCAATAGTAAAGGACCCAACAGACACATTAGACAAACCTATCACGTTCCCCCCGTCAAGCACGATGCCAGACGGTGGTGTGAATACTGATGAAAAATACTCAGCAAATAGCGAACAAATGACGCCTCTTCTGCGTTTCAGATAAGATCAAAATTGTTTCGGGTCTGTGACAATATTATCTTGAACGCGTTCCATGTTTGTTGTGTGATCGCGATCGATCAGAAACTTTGAGCGACCATGCAAAAGCGAAAAAGTATGGTTTTGAGAAGAATTGATGAAAATGCCTCAACCAGCATTAGAAGGATTTCTGCACAAGAATACAACAAGAAAGCAACCAAGGGAACTGGTTCATCCGTATCACTACAACACTGTTCTTTAACAGAAAATGATGGTGAAAAACGATAGATTTTTTGGTTTTGGGCCATGCATTGTGTTTATGGCAACATTTATTCAAAACGGAATTTTTAATATCCATAATGCGCACATTTTGAGTGATGAGTGCAATACTAAAAACTCATCATCAGTGGCGATTCAATGTTAATGTATGTTATAGGTGACCAGTTAGTAGGTCAATTTTTTTCTTAGAAAGAGATTTACAGCTGATAATTACATATATTTTTTACAAAATGAGCTTACAGAGGCATTTGGTGAATTAATTCTGCAAATCCTACAAGATTACTACTTTGCGCATGATGGACCAGCATAACATACTTAGATGACAAATTTGGCAATAAGTGGATTGGCCACCTCGTTCACCAGATTTAAATCCGTTAGATTTTTGGTTTTGGGAACATTTAACATAAATGGTTTATTCTGAAGATTTCAAAAAACAAAGTAGCGAAGATAAACATATTATTTAAATTAAACGTTATGAAAACTCTGACAAAAGAAGAATTTTCGTTGGTTACTGTTGAAGACTGGTTGTTGTCAAAATGTTGTTAAATTGAAAATAATTATTTAGAAAACGAGGTTCGAATTGATGTGGCAATTTAATTATTACAGCTTCTGATAGTGAAACTTTTAATGAGGACGACTTTTAAAATTTATCAGATTAAGAGCTACGGGTCGGTTAATCCAATAAAAGTTTCTTTGTTTGTTAATAATAATAATAACCCATGCAAGCGAGTGAGATATCCTCTCCCGTCTTCTGATCCCAAATATAAAACGAAGGTAAGAGTTCTGTACCCGTTGAATTCGAATTCTGTCCGTAGCATCAATGCAATAATGGCAAAGCGGATCCCCGTAGTTAAAGATGGATACTTCGCACAAATGTATTCTTAATTTTTGATGTAAAAGGTTTTTGTTGGAATACAATAGCTTGAGGGTGGAATAAGACTGCTGAAGAAGACTTCTGACATGACTTCTAAATCGCAAATCAGAGTTGTTCTGAAAATTGAAGTCGTTGGTTGTTAATAAGTATATTTAAGGACTGCCTAACGTTATCCGCCGGCAACCCTCCTCCGAAGACGACAACAGAGGATTTTGAAGCATTTATAGATAAACAATGCGCCTGGCGTTCTGAAGCAATAATTTAAGATCAGAATTAATCCGAAGTTCGGACATGCCCAAGTCTCTCTCATCACAACCGAGGTATATTTGAGTATCATCAGCATACATGTGGGTTTTGCAATCCTTTAGATTGGAACTGAGATTTATTAATCTTACATAATCTTACACTATTGTGTAAATTAGGTATAGTATTGGTCCTAAGATTGATCCTTGATGTACACCTCAAGTAATATAACCTCTCTTCGACAAAATACCCTGAAATTTAACAATTTGCGCACGATCTAAAAAATAGTTTTTGAAAAAATCGATAGCCAACGGGGAGAAACCAATATAATGAAGCACAGCAAGTAAAGTCGAATGATGGAGGGTGTCAAACATCTTAGAAAAGTTAATTAGGATGAGAGTCGTAACATTTCCCTCATCCAATCCACACAAGATATCATCGGTCACATTCAGAGGAGCTGTAGTACAGCTGTAACCAGGACGAAAACCTGACTGAGTAGATGGAAGTAAATTAAAATGATCTCAAATCCTTACAGCCACAATCCTTTCTACTACCTTAGAGCAAACATTTAAGATGCTAATAGGGCGAAGATCATTTAATCCTACGGGGTTACTGCATTTCGGTTTGGGAGACACTAAGGCAGTCTTCCAGTGATCAGAAAAGACACCCAGCTCCAGATAAAGATTGACAATATGGCACACATACGGAACAATCACAGGGCAACACAGAAGTAACATCCTTATGCTAATGCCATCACTTCCAACTGCATTGGTTTCAATAGATTGCAGCACACGATAGATTTCGTCTTCTGAGGCTAAGGAAAAGGATAAGGTAGTACCGATCTGAGGCAGAATATTAGAGTTGTACAATTTAATAAGCTCTGCATCACCGGAGTTAGTAATTTGAGAGGCTAAAAAAGAATTGTTAATCAAATCAGCATCACCAATGTTGCTAGGAATACTATCAGTCCAATTACCGCCAATGTCTAAAGACCGAAAGGCACCCCACAATTTCCTGGAATCACCACCCCTGAATATGTGAGTTAAAAAAGCTTTTTTTTCACGTTGAAGTGAACATTATTGGTGAAATTACGCAGTTCTTTATAATAGGTAAAATCAGAGCGTAGTCTGGAAGCCTTAAATGACTTACAGGCTTTATCCAGCTCCATAAGCAGCAAGGTGCATATATGTGTGCCGTTTTTAACAACTTAATATTTCACAACAAAAGTTTTCTGCAAAATATTTTTGTACCAAAAGTGCAAAAAATATTCGAGAAATAACGTGAAAAAAGGTGCTTTCAGAGAATAGAACGTTATTGATTTTTCCTTTCTGGGAATTTTTTCTCAACAAGTATCGTACCGATTGTAAATGGCGCGCATATTGAACATTTACTATGACATCATTCTTTTTCAGTTTGTTAAATATTCTTTGTTTTTATGCTGGTTGAAGGAGTTTCTTCAACAATCTTTGTTAATGATGTTAACAACAAGTCAACTTATGAAACTAAAACTGAACATCTCGAAAATGGACCATTTAGAATATGCTAGTGCAGTATTGTAGAATCGCTGTGGGACATGTATAATACAGACTGTATCAGGTATGAGTAGAAAAAATTTGAGGGGTTATAAGTCCTATTTTTGTGAATAAAAAATTCTTATAACACAATGTCCCATTCTTAAGATATGATACGATAAAGTTAAAGGTTTGAAAGTTTAAGTACTGCTGTATAAAGAATTATACTAAGCAGGCGTTGCTTATGTATACAGGTGTCTCACGTAACTGGTTCGTTAGAGCTTTTTTAGGTATTCGTAGAGGTTTGAAATTTTGGTAGCATGGGTTGTTCATTCTAAACTTTCAATCTAAAATATTTTCAAGATGGCCACCACTTCCGGTCTACCGGAAGTAAACCACAACTTCGTTATTTTAAATGGAATACTATAGTTTTTATTACACCTTTCAATTACACATAAAAAAATATGTTGACTTTGATAAAAGTATTTTGATTTTAAGCTTTTTTTGGCAAATTTCACCATGCTCTTTAAAAGCCCATATTTCAGTTAACGTTCATTAAAAAAACCTCTAAATTGGCACGATTACTCTTCAGATGTTGTCAAATAGATTGTCATTTCTTGCATCAGAGTATCTTATACAGAGTGGTCAAAAATTGAATTACCGTTTCTCCATATTCAATGGCTAGAAAGTTGAAAATTTTAAATGGAATGCCCCGTATTTTTGTATCCTATCAGAAAGGGAATTTAATTGTCTACAAATTATCTATAAACATTCCTATACCTATTTATTGTAGTTTCCCTGATATTGGGAAATTAATCAAAGCGTGCACGGAATGCGGGAAAACGTTTGATTTTTTTATTAGAAGGCCATGGAATTTTGACAGTTTTTGGTCCATATTTGTGTTATTGTTGTTGTTACTTACTTTTGATCACGAGTGAAAGTCATTGTATATCATGGCAAATTATTCCAACGCCGATATTTTAAATTTGTTTTATATTCATGGCAATGGCCT